TGGAGGAATGGGCCAAAATACCAGCAACAGTGTGTGAAAACCTTGTGAAGACTTACAGAAAACGTTTGACCTCTGTCATTGCCAACAAAGGGTATATAACAAAGTATTGAGATGAACTTTTGTTATTGACCAAATACTTATTTTCCACCATAATTTGCAAATAAATTCTTAAAAAAATCAGACAATGTGATATTCTGGATTTTTTTCTTCTCACTTTGTCTCTCATAGTTGAGGTATACCTAGGATGAAAATTACAGGCCTCTCATCTTTTAAAGTGGGAGAACTTGCACAATTGGTGGCTGACTAAATACTTTTTTGCCCCACTGTATGTTCTAGTATCAAGGAGAGTAAAAAGGCAACGATATAATAGATTTAAAATGTGCGGCCCTCCACAGATACTGTACTTTGACATACATACAAACTGGAGAAATGCGAAACTGCCGCATTGATGGCAGAAGGAGCCGAGTGCAGCAAGCTATCACTCCACGTTAAAAAACAAGTTGGCGGTCAGAAAAAGCTGCTATGTGGACACAGGCCTTGTAACCATTGCTAACACTGTTAAAAAATGCAGATGTTCTTCCTCACCTTAAGAGGAACTCTCAGAGGGGAGTTGATAGGCAGGTAGAGCGTGGACTGGAAGCGTGCGTCCGGCCTCTCTGCAGTTTTACACTTTGGGGCTAAGTGAGTGAAAGGGTCGCTGGGCAGCCGAGCACAGTACCTGAGCACCAGAGCAGAGAGGACATTTACAAAGCTGATTTAGGAGCGTTTCCTAAATGGATTGAGGATTTGAAGACTTCACCGACCTGTTGATGTGTCCGATGGCCGTGTTGACGGTGACCCGGGGGCTTCCATCCTCAGAGCGGAGCACGTAGGGAGGGATGATGTTGTCATCGTCCAGAACCTGCTCCAGCTCATACTCACCTACCTCCACGGACTTGGAGCACTTGTTCCTTAAGATCTGCTCAGAAGAGTAACATCCTCATCATCACTACCTCATTCAGCTTCACAATTGAACTTGAATTTTCTACATTTCTCCAAACACTATTCGAATAATCCTCCATTGACTAAAGAAAGTGTCACCTTCTCTATGGACTTGTAGGTGGTGAGATCTTCCTCGAAGCCTCTGGTTCTCTCGCTGTCAGCCAGCATGATGTAGTTGGAGACGGGCGCTCGCGCTCTGCCTTTGGACTGGACGTAGGAGCGGTACTCTGTGGGCAGGTCGAAGCGCACCACCAGGTTACACTTTGGGATGTCCACTCCCTCCTCCACGATGCTGGTGGCGATCAGCAGGTTGGTTTCATGAGCGCGGAACTTGCGAAGAACCTGTGAGAGAAACAGGGGAGCCGAAGCAATAGAGAGTCTTTAAGAAATGCTTTCTAAACTACTACATGTAAATGTTCACTACCTTGAAGGGACAGGACAAACCTATGAATCCCATCAATAAGCGCAACTCATGTGCAAGCCCATTAGGGGTGGCAGTTGGATAAACACATTGGCTCTTAGTGATTGGCTAAGGACATTTTCTGCAATTTCTTTCGCTTACTTATATTGTGTGGCCCCAAGCAGAGAGTAAAAGTGGAGGGTTTTCACATCATAAGAGAGAGTTTGTTGGTGGAAAAACTTTGGGTTTACCGAGTTTAACTTCATTTCTTAAAGTTTGAAGGAAATCTTTATTGCTTCGTCACTGACGTGTTATCAGAATTAAAGCAAAATGTTGCTGCATGGTGACTTCAGGGAAAGAGGATTTTCCAGTTCTGTTGTTTCTCTGTCATCTCCAACTCTCGCAGTGTTTGTGATGTCTAAAAAGGTGCAACTGGTAAGATTTACCTTTCTGTCTTTGGGCTGCAGGCTGTGTGAGGTTACACTATCATGTTTTTTTGGTTCATGCTCCAGGGAAGTGTGCTTTTCTGTCTTTGAGCTGCAGGCTCCAGTGATGGGGGGGGGGGGGGGGTCGGTGTGTAGCAGGCTGCAGCAGGCAGCAGGCAGCAGCAGTCTGCGCAGCCTGCGCTGCTGGCTTCCTCCAAGTTTACAGTAAAACAAACTGGTGGTGTGACCAATGGCCATTTACAATTATTAATACTATTAATATTATTAGCATTAGTCTATATTTTGGTTGAAACTAAGCCAGAAAAAAAAAGAAAAACATAAATAATAATAAAAAAATATAAATAAATAAAATCGAATTTTAAAAGTAATTTTCGATTATGGAGATTGTAACGAATATTCGAAAAATCGAATAATCGCTGGCATCCCTAGTAGCTAGGTCCTGCAATGAAACGTGATAACTCTACATATATCAAAATATGACAGTATATTTATGTACAGTGTGAATCATATGAGCATATATACCTCCTCTTGCTTCCTGAACTCCACCTCCATCTGCTTGTTGCGCGGCTGGTTCTTGCCGATGCTGTGGCCAGTGATGAAGTTGCTGCTGATGTAAGCCAGCTCCGGGTCCTGCTTCCCCGCCTCTTTGATCAGACTGAGGGAGGAACACAGACATACATGTTGAAGTTTCTCTAAGATGCACTGGCACAACTATCATTATTCTCATTTAAACATGGGAAATACTCTGCTCTTAACAAATATCTGCTCTTCTTCAAAAGCAGACTGCTCCTCAAAGGGCACTGATCATGATTCAATACAGAAAGAAGCCAAAAATATATATTAATTTGCCATTTATCCATCAGAAAACACTTTGGAATACTTCTTAAATATTCATTTATATATGCACAAAACTTTGGATTCATAATGGCCAAACTATCCACAGTGAATACAACTGAACAGAGAGCTGGACGTCAGAGAGTTCAACAGAACGGCAGAAGTAGACACTAAAGGGAACAGCAGAAGGAGACAGGAAGTAAACACTAAAGAGAACAGCAGAAGGAGACAGACAGGAAGTAAACATTAAAGGGAACGGCAGAAGGAGAAAGACAGGAAGTAGACACTAAAGGGAACAGTAGAAGGAGACAGGAAGTAAACACTAAAGGGAACACAAGAAGGAGACAGACAGGAAGTAAACAGTAAAGGGAACAGCAGAAGGAGACAGCCAGGAAGTAGACACTAAAGGGAACAGCAGAAGGAGACAGACATGAAGTAGACACTAAAGGGAACAGGGTGTGGGCTCTGGCATTGTTTTAAGACTTATTCATTGAAAAAAAATATGTCCAGACTTGGACAGTTACTGAAAACCTCCATCAGTGCTGCTGTCAGTTTAAGTTAAAGAGCAACTTGCAGGTTAGAGACACCAGTGAATAAATGTGTAGGGAAATGATGAATACACTAGATTTTCCCCAAAAAATACAGAAATATACACAACAGTGACATCTGGCGTCGTTTTAGTAAAACATTTTCAATTCCGCATAAAAAAGCCTCCGCACGTGACCTCCCGCGTGTGACGTAACATGGGGGAAACAAGGGGGAGAGCGGCCGGTCTAACGTATGAATAAACATGGATCACAATGCTAGTTTTGATACAGAAGAGGTTGAAAATATATATTCGAATGCATATGATTATAATTATGAGCCTGCTAGGCGTCCAAGAGATGCTAGTTTTGACACAGAAGAGGTTGAAAATATATATTCAAATGCATATGATTATAATTATGAATATTTCTGAGCAGCCAAGGATTAGAAGAAATAACGGCCATCGGCNTTATAATTATGAGCCTGCTAGGCGTCCAAGAGACCAGGAGCAGCCAAGGATTAGAAAAAAATAACGGCCATCGGAGAGAAATGGAGCTTTGGTGTGTGGAGAACAAGTGGAGAACAGAGCAGCTGCCTTGGTGAGTGACCGGCGTTAGCATGTTAGCTAACGTCAGTCACATCACAACATTGTAAAGTTAGCAATCATATATCAGGCTATAACTAAAGTAGTATTGATAATATAGTAACGTTACTGGCAGGACTGTTGATACTGATCCATAACATAAACTAATGCGCAAGTATCAGCCGTATCTCGCGTTACCTAATGCAACTCCACACTACGGTGCTGTGTACCGGAGGAGAGACGCGAGATACGGCTGATACTTGACGATCTGGCGGAGAAAGGTTGTGGAGCCTCCGTTGATATGCCGTTGTAAATGGCTTGATGAAAAGGAGGTGTGTAGTCGGGGAGGGTGCACAGCTGATTGCAGCAGGTGAGTGGAGGTTGAGCCGGGAGCCAGGAGTGACAGCCACCACGCCCACACAAACAACACAGACAGGGGGAAACAAACAAACACAAAGGAGACGGCTGGAGCAGTACAGCCACCACAGCGTTACCTAATGCAATCTCCACACTACGTCTTACGGTGCCGTGTACCGGAGGGGAGAGAGAGAGAGCAGCGGAGAGGGGGGAGAGAGATGTAATACGGTTTCCTGATAAAGCTGTAGAGACGGAGTATGTGCTGCAGGGAGGTGGATGCACAACGCACCCAGGAACGAACGCTAGCTCCGGTCCTTTTCCCGTGAGCGAAACTGTGGACTCGATGTCCTGACAGGCTCGAGTTTGTGCAACCTGCACAAACACAAGCTCAC